GGGTTGTTCCTCCCCAGGTGCAGGACCCTGCATTTGCCTTTGTTGAACCTCATCAGGTTCCTCTCTGCCCAACTTTCCAGCCTATCCAGGTCACGCTGAATGGCAGCACAGCCTTCCGGTGTGTCTACCACTCCTCCCAGTTTGGTGTCATCAGCAAACTTGCTGAGGGTACACTCCAACTCTTCATCCAGGTCGTCGATGAAGAAGCCAAACAAGACTGGGCCCAGTACTGACCCCTGAAGGACACCACCAGGTACCAGCCTCCAACTAGACTCAGCGCCGCTGATGACAGCCCTCTGAGTTCTGCCATTCAGCCAGTTCTCAATCCACTTCACCGACCACTCATCCAGCCCACATTTCCTCAGCTTCCCTAGGAGGATGTTATGGGAGACTGTGTCGAAAGCCTTGCTGAAGTCTAGGTAGACAACATCCACGGCTCTCCCTTCGTCTACCCAGCCAGTCATGTCATCACAGAAAGCTATCAGATTGGTCAGGCATGAGAAGTGACATTAGAATTTGCAGACAGTGTATGATACCTAAACCACTCAAGGATTAGGAGTAGCCATATTTTCCTGCAGCTTTTCTGACATTACATGCAATGAAGGCAGCTACCCAGACAATGTCTCAGGAAGAAGAAAGTTTTTTTTCCCCACTAAAGTCTTTCACTTGTTCCCAGACATAACCCTTTTTCATCTTTCATCCTCACCAGATGCTCTTTAGCATAGAGGGCAAAAGGATTTTTGTACATGTTTCAATGTTGAATTCAACTGTAGGCTACAAGATACGTCCTTGATATCATTGGAAAGACCTATGTGGTTAGCTGCAGCGTAGCTCTGGACAATCACTACACACCTCAAGAGTCTACCATGAAACACAACCTATACAGTTCAGTGGCTCTCATAAGCAGATTTATAGCCCTGTAAGTCCATCATCTCTAACTTCATTGACGTGGACTAATTTGAATGAAGCTCACTCAAGTCATGGGATGAACTGAAGCCTGATTTATGACTGGAGAGAGAATAACTGATGAAAATTGTCATGATGCATCTATGACAAAGCTGAATGGTGAAAGAACTCATGTCAGGGCTAAACCCAGAGGGACTGGGCCAGTGTGAACAGAATGTATTCAACCAGCACAATGGATGCAGCAACAAAAAAAAGCTGCTCTTACTCCTGTAAGGCTAACCTGTAGCGTCTTTCCCCCATATTCCAATCCACTGACCAAGCCAGAAAAAAGATGCAAACTAAGCCCACAAGTGTATCATTAGCACATGCACCTATTAAACGCCAAGTCTAAGGAACCCAAAATCAACAAAAAAAACCTATAAAACTGACAGAAGCCTTTTCAGATACATGTGTGATGGCACAGGAAGGCAAGAGACACTCACCATCATTCTCCAAAGCTCCCCAACCGGTGACAAAACAGGAAGTGTTTGCTGCAAAAATGTGAGATGCTTCAGGAAGACAGACACTGTGCACATCACTCGTGAACTCAATAGCAGAGGCAAGTTCCACAACAGCCACATCATATTCATGACCAGAGACAGGGTTGTTGTAACTTTCATGAACGATAATTCTTCGGACGAGTCTTCTCTGTTCTGGAGGTCTGAGCCGAATTCCAAAGCTGGCGGTCCACTTCCGAGGATCACTTTCCCTGCAAGATATTTGAGGTTATGTCACAGCCATACAAAACAAGATCCTCAGAGGAGCTTAGCTCTCCACTTAAGCATCAAAATGCAATGTGGCCAGGTTTGCCTAAGGGACAGAGCAGAGCCAAACTTCATTATCTTTCAGCAGATACTGACTTCAGTGGGCAACAAAAGGTCAGAACACCCAAGAGTCCTAAGGCCTGTAGGATCAGAAGGGTGATGATGACTTACCCTCTAAAACAGTGGGCTGCAGTGACTAGCCATGTATTACTGATCACTGATGCACCACAGCGATGGGTCCCCTCTAGCTGAATACTAGCCTGCCACGGCCACTCCCCAGTCTGTGCCTGCTGCCCACCAATTATTCTCTCCAATCCTGTGAAGGAGAATGTCTGTCTTCGTATTCCACAGCCTGTCAAAGAAAAGGCAGCTCTGCTTTAGCTGATTAAAGGAAACCAGGGTGTTGCTTTAAGAAAGGTCCACATGGCTGCAGGCAGAGGCGTAACAGGTCAGAGGTGTCAAGAGACAGCCTTCACCTAAAGCCGTGCCTCCAATAGCAGGGAAACCAAGTGTCATGGTCACAAACATCTCAGGATAGATGTGGGGTAAACAAAGAAGTTTGGTAGAAGAGTCATTACTTTGTCATTAGACCAGTTTTCATACACACAAGCCTATACGTACTCCCATGGGAACTGAAGGCTGTATATCTGAGACACTGTTTATTTTCCCCAGTTGTAACTGTTTATCTAGTTAAAAAAATATATAGCCCCTACAAACCTTGTTTTGTTTGATATTTAACCAGAGCTGTACAGAGGGAGAAGTAACATACATAGCCATTAGTGTGGCTTTGCATACAGGTACACACACAGATTATTAGGCACAAAGACATGCACTGATAATTAACCTAAGCATATACATTCATATAGCTTTCATAATAACGGCATGTAAGTTCCATCCAAAGACTAAACCTTTCTTTGTACTGTACAAAAAAAAGAACATCCTTAGTTTGGTTTCATTCTTTTAAAAAGACTTCTTAAAAATTGAGTACAAAAATAACTGAGGAATCCCCACGTAAACAACCACCACACCAGGGCAGCTCTAAGCTTTAATACACAAATCATCACCAAAATATGCACATGACAGACACTGCACATCACTTGTGAACTCAGCAGAGGTAATCTTCCCATTATTTGTAACATCCCACCGGTATAGCAAAGGCAAGACCAACATAGTCGTTCTAGCTTTAAGTGTCACAGAATTGCTGAAGACTAGATTGCAAAAACACACAAGAACGAAACAAAAATCCCACCCACAAACTAAGCAAAGAAGGGCTTTTGTGAGGTCACCTCCAGGTCAGCCTTGACAACAGCAACAAAAAAGTATCCTCTTCCTCCAGCAGTTTACTTATAGCCACTGTGCCAACAGCACAGTCATGTATTATTCGGCTGAAAAAGTTAGACCCAAACCAGTTAATTCTCATAGTCCATTTAAAGGTGAAAAGCTAACTTGCAAAGGCTCCAACACCACGCAGGCGACTGATGTAGTCCCCTGAGGGGGTACTTAAAGCTCCTTTAGAAACAGGGAGACAGTGCAAGACCTCAAGGGGGAGCACAGAACAGGAGAGGGACTAAGCACCTGCCCCTCTCCAGGGCTGTGCCACTGCCTTGCTGTCACTGTGGACAGCTCTTCTCCCCTTCCCTGTATATTGCAAGGTTTAGCTCGCATCTGACAGACGTCTATTGTCAAACCATTCTGCAGGGAGGAGGGGGCAGGAAGAAAATGTTTTTGGAAGGATTCCAGCAAGAATCTGGGCTCACAGCTACTGCAGTCCTTGTGGAAAGCTCACCAACAGCAGCTCATCTACGTGCCCCTACTTCCCATAACCGACATTAAAGCAAGTACTTCCCATCACCAAGTCAGAATGCCTGATTCCACAAACAGTACAGAGCCAGCCTGACTGCAAGAAAATGAGCTGAAGTATTCCCTGGCTCAGGCACTGTCTACTGCTCTAGTATTTTTCATAAGTTATTTTTTCAACTTGCATCTCAAAAGCATAAGAATCTTGTAAACACAGAACTTATAGCATCAAGTCCCTGGACCTTTTCTGTAAAGCATTTGTACTTACAGTTGTTTAAAAGGTTATCTCCATTTTCCTTATTCAACTCTGAAATGAAAAGCAAACAGCACAGTGAGTAATCTCATACTGTTACATGATCTAGCACAGACTCTGTCCCTGTACCAGCAAACACAAATTAAGTGGCTCACACTGCTGCATGGAGTGACAGTACAGTAAGAGGCATAATTTGCTCTGTTGGAGAAGTTCAGTTAAGCCTCTGTTCCTCACTGAACGTGTAAGGCCAAAGGATACATCTTTCTCGCTTCAGCTCAAAGCTAACAAAAGCAGTAGATAACTGCAAATAGGTCCAAGTAACATCTACATGTGCTGGCAACTGTGCACGATATAAACACCTACATGCATTTGTTCAGGTTCAGGCAAGGTGGTCAAAACAGTCTTCACAAACCCTCAGCGCTGGGACTGAGTGAAGCTAAGCTGTAACGTTACTGACTTCTTCACTACAAAAAGCCCTCTGCCAGATTCTGATAGTAACCAGCGACAGATTCATGGGAGAGGATTACTGCCCAGGAAGCCTCAGGGTTTTGTTATGGACATTTGCTACAGCAATCTGTCAAATCTGTCAAATAAGCACAGGAAATGGCAGGGGGGTGGAGAAGGGAACCATCTCAGCCTTGCAGTTTTTTAGCAGCTTTTTAATAGAGGACTCTGTATTTCAGTACCTGGTGATACAGGTTCTTGTTCAATTCACTATGTGCCTTAAAATAATCTGTGAACCGGTGATCACAAATTTGGGCCTTTTTTTAATGAACTAGGGGGGATGACTATCTCATTCAACAGAGCTAGGTCACAGAGAGAGCCTCTGATGCACAGAGGAGAGCCCACACTCATAAATCAGTGCCAGTATGCTTTAATTCTTTTCATCCTACTTCTTCCGAGTTCCCAGGCTGTCAGCTGTAACACAAAATTTTGAGAAGGCAAAAAAAGAAAACAGGAACAGCCCATATTTGCATACTAAAGTGGAATTCATTACACTAAGAACAATAAAATATGAAGAACAAATTCCAAGCTAAAAACAAACCTAAGGCACTTGCCTGTAAGTGTAAGAGTAGATTGGTCAATATTCAAGAACGTGGAGACTGTTTGCAGCCTCTCGCGTAACACCTTGTCAACAAGACCCCAGCTCGTGTCCTTACTGTCACCAGCGGCAAATTTAAATACCAGAACAACAGATGCAAGCACTCCACCAGGATCTGGGCTGCAAACCAACAAAAACAAAGTGGTGTCATTCTCTCTTTGCTCACTAATCTGCTTTGTTCTGCTTTGCACCGTTCACCTTTATACAAGAACAGATCTGGTCTGCACAGACGTATAGAACAAAAAGAATAGCTGTGCACAAGGAAGGTGATGACACGTCAGCAAGCAGCAAAAGGCTTGGTTGTCACTATAATAATGATCAGAGGAAATTTTCTGGGAACTATTACAGGCAGTACAGCTGAGAAGGAGCAGAGGGATCACTCCCTTTGGCACCCACGCAGCTCATAGTCAGTAGGACGAAGATGGCAGTAGGAATAACACAGCAAGTTAAAACCCTTCAACAGATACTCAACATGCCATTCCTAACAGCCATTCAGAAGACCCAGTTTAGAGCTATAGAAGTTACAGAGGTCTTCTGGCATTTCGTTGCATTTAAGTCACTTGTCCATTTATTGACCAGTTAGCTCGATTGCATCTAGAGACAAAAATCTCAATAGTTTACCAGAGCAAGGCATGATCACTTACTGTCAGTATAGAGTGCTGAGCCCCATATTTTAGAGTAACAGCCTAAAGGAAAACCAGCTGAAGCCTAGAGGGAAAGACAGCAGAGATGCAGCTAAGCTGTTTCAGTGCCTAATGGCACAACAAGGTATCTGTAGTGAAAACAAGCTTGGAAGAGATATGCTGTTTGGTCAATCTAAAAAGTATAAAGAGGTTGCTTGAAGTGTAGCTCCTAACTTCTGCAATTTCAGTTGATATGCAGTATGGGAGGCTTGCAGAAGAAACCAGCAGCAGAAAACATTGTAGAACAGTTAAAGGAAATGACTCCTTCCAACAATGACAACAAGTAAAGGCAAGAAAGTCCAAAAGTGCTGTCAAGAAGGACATTTCTGGGAAGTCTGACATTCTTTACTAGCTAGGGAAAAATAGTCTACAGCAGAATTGAGCCTTATAGAAATACAGCTCCAAACCAAAGGAATGTGAAGGAGAGGGAAGCGATGGGTCTTATCACTGAGTGATGCATAATTACTGCAGAGAGAGGAAAGACTTAAAAGCTCTCACACAGGATCTTTATACCTGTATGTCCCACTTGCCTCCTTCCCTAAACTCTGTATCCAGGTTCCATTGGAATCATTTATTCCTTCCGACTTTTTCAGAGAGGGAGGAGAATAGTCACCTCCTGCTGTATATCGTGCAGAGGTGTAAACATCAGCCTGAGCTTCCACAGGAAGCATTAAGTGGAATAAAGAGCTGACTCTGCATCTCTCAAGCCCTTAACTAGTAGTGAAGACTGGGATCACCTAGTAATTCAGTTACTGCATCACAGCCACAAAGAACTGGTCTTCAGGTAATCAATCTGCAGAAGTATAAGGCCAAATTTCTCTTGCTGACCTCTGAAGGTAACTGAGCCCTCAGCATTATGAGTACCAAAGGAAAGCAACAGCCAGACAAGACTTAGTCATCCTGCTGGTATAATCCAAGCATAAACAACCAGGCACACTCCATATGGTCAAGAGGTAGGAAAAAAGGATATTTACCACACCCCTGCTTATTCACATTACTTACCTTAGACTGACAACATGGGACCTGATGTACCTTTTACTTAGAAAGGAGCCCCTGAATACTTCAGATATCTGTTAAAGGAAAAGAGTGCATTAAAATACATCTGTAGTATGTCCATGCTTTCAAGGTGTAAGTGTCTTGTGAGGCTCCGAAGCACAAGAAGGTGCCTTCAGATCTCCACGTCTACACCAAAGCTACCGCTAAATTTCTATCAGAGGCTCCAGAGCCAAAATAAACAGCTGAGATGTCCGATTTTGCTGTCCCTTCTGCTCTGTGGGTGCCTGTTCCACCACAGGGCTGCTGGAACAGACAGAACCCGTGCTTACCATCTGCTTGTGCAGTCAGCAAAGCATCTTTAACCCACTACAGCAAAGTTCAAAAGGTAAGGCCAGCCGCATAAGGATGAGGCACAATCACCTCTGACTATTTTCAATCATACTGTTGCAGGACTCTTCGCCATAGGTCAGGCAGAAACAGAGAAACATCTTAGCTTACCATGGTTTCAATATAGTGGCTTACGTTCCCAAACTCTACTGTGGTTTGCCTTTCGAACTTGCGGTCATACTGGACGTTGGTGATTAGGAAAGATGTATTGTAAAATCGCTCCTGATCTACAGAGGAGAAAATGAAAGGTGGTTGATCTCCTTCAGTACAATTCAGACATGCACAGCACTCACAGAGCATGGCACAGGTAAGGATCCCAGACTCTGACTGAGACCCTGTCAGCTGTAGAATTCCAGCTTTATCAGCACTTTGTGAAAAGCGGGCTCTGGACCATCTTGTTGCTCCATGGACCAGCTAGGGGCTCATTTCTACTTTGAGGACCATCCTAAGTATCTTTAAATTACACCCACTACAACATTTCTCTGAGGATCACCTTGTCATCAGCCTGAGGTGAGCACAGCACAAGACACACTAGCCCACATATATACCTTCTGACTCAGTAGACACACTCACTCCTCCCTAGGTGCGCTCTTGCATGTCCCTGCCTCTCTGAGAGGCAGGTGACCCAGAGCTGTTTGCACCCTTTCAGCAGTCAGGTTAGGTTTAAAAACTGGCTCTTCAGTGAATGGCAGAGAGGGGCCCAATAATGCAGAGTCAGCAAAAAGCAAAGCTAAGCTGTAGCTCTGCCACTGCTCTGTCTAGTGTCCTAATGCAAGACACAGCCTCATCAACTCTTGGTGAGCTGAGACAACACCACGATTAGTTCCATCCCAGCAGGAAGGCTTTTCAGAATCCCTTACACTGGTATCTTGGAGACTGGGAGTGGAATGGCTTGGTTTCATTCATCTGCTACCGAAACTTGGCCCTTGGCAACCATGACTGACTCCTGGGCTCCAAAACGCTGAAATCTCTGTCCTCTCTCTTTCCGGAACACCCCCAGCTAGAGGCACCAGGTTCAGTTTCAGCAAAAACCCTGTCCAAGACCAAGCTTACTATACATAGCCTGAGTACTAGACACACCCCCGGCTTACACAGAAGACTGCTAGCCTTTGGTTAACCATGGACACCAGTGGAGGCACCAGGGCAAAACAAGCAACAAAAAGAGGGGAAAAAACTTAAAATATCATTTACTTAAAGCAGAGATTTAAGTATTCTTGCAGAACCTGAATAGGGTCTAGTAAGATTTTGCATGCAGAGTCTATACCAGGGGTGAATTGTGTACCTAAATCATCAGGCAAGACCACAGTAGCAAGTGAAACACAACAGATTCCCAAAGACTTCTGACAACAAAAAAAGTGGTGCACTTACCATAGCACAAAAAATATGCAATCAATCCAATGATGAGGGCTAAGCCTACTACCACCGACACAACAATGACTGCTATCTTCCACGGCTCTATACGATTCGATGCTCTGTCCATCTGGATTCACTATCTGCACTGAAGAAAACATGGAGAAATTGAACTCTATTACAACGACATAGTGCATCCTGAGCAAATAAGATCTGGCAGAGCTTAGCTCAGCTGACAAACCTCACAGAATGAAGTAAGTTGGGAAGGACTCTCTAGACCCTGTAGGACTGACCTGCTCAAACCAGGTCTAACTACAGCAGGTTGCTCCAGGCTTTGTCCACTCAAGTTTTTAGTAACTCCAAGGACAGATATCTCCCAGTCTCTCAGGAGTCCTGGTCCAGTCTCTGACCACCCTCATGACATAAGTTTTTTCTTTACATTTAGTCAATTTCCTGTGTTCTAACTTGCCTCCATCACCGCACATGCACCACTGAGAACAGCCTAGAGTTGTGCAGTTATTGCTAGTAGAGACAATTTCCCACCAAGAAACTTTACAGATTTCAAGCGCAGATGACTGCCCACACAGGTGCTTAAACTGAACATAAATGTAGTAATTCATGACTGATGAAATAACTTCTGCACCAAGGATACTCTAGGCTACCAGAGATCACAGAATCACAGAATGGTAGGGGTTGGAAGGGACCTCTGGGGATCATCTAGTCCAACCCCCCTGCCCAGGCAGGGTCACCTAGGGCAGGCTGCACAGGATCTTGTCCAGGCAGTTTTTGAATATCTCCAGAGAAGGAGAATCCACAACCTCTGTGGGCAACCTGTTCCAGTGCTCCATCACCCTCAGAGTGAAGAAGTTCTTCCTCATGTTCAGACAGAACTTCTTATGCTTCAGTTTGTTCCCATTGCCCCTTGTCTTGTCGCTGGGCACCACTGAAAGGAGTCTGGCCCCATCCTCCTGACACCCACCCTGCAGATATTTATAAGCATTTGTAAGGTCCCCGCTCAGCCTTCTCTTCTTCAGGCTGAACAAGCCCAGCTCCCTCAGCCTTTCCTCGTAGCAGAGATGCTCCAGTCCCTCATTATCTTCATGGCCCTCTGCTGGACTCTCTCCAGTAGCTCCTCATCTTTCTTGAACTGGGAGTCCAGAACTGGACAGAGTACTCCAGATGAGGCCTCACTAGGGCAAAGTAGGGAGGGAGGAGAACCTCTCTCGACCTGCTGGCCACACTCCTCCTAATGCACCCCAGGATGCCATTGGCCTTCTTGGCAGCCAGGGCACACTGCTGGCTCATGGTCAACTTGTTGTCCACCAGCACTCCCAAGTCCCTCTCCACAGAGCTGCTCTCCAGCAGGTCAGCCCCGAGCCTGTACTGGTGCATGGGGTTGTTCCTCCCCAGGTGCAGGACCCTACACTTGCCCTTGTTGAATTTGGACCCAACACTTGCCCTTATTGAATTTCATCAGGTGCCTCTGCACCCAACTCTCCAGCCTGTCCAGGTCTCTCTGATTGGCAAGACAGCCTTCTGGTGTATCCATCAGTCCTCCCAGTTTTGTGTCATCAAAAACCACGATGCTGTATAACATACAGCTTTGAGTTATTTTTAGTTGGTATGAGTAGTAACATTTTTTGATCCCCTACAGGGTTTGGGTTTTATTGCACCAAAACCATACATACACTGTAAGAGACCGCATCCTGTCTCTTGCCAGACAGTCTGCCAGAGGTGAGGGAAATAGCTACTCATGTGTAAATGTGACATGGCAACAAGACTCAGACTTAGTGACTCGCTGAAAGCCAACAGCAGACCTGTAAAAGGGTTGGCAACTTGACTCATATGGACAAAGGCGCATAAGCCTTTCTCCTCCACTGATGTCATCCTGTGCAGCATTAAGCAAGAGAACATTAGGAAAACTGCGATTTTGCGCATGTCCTCGGTAGCTTTGTTGTAGGACGATGCAAAGCCTTAAGCACAATTATTTCAGATTCCCAGTAATTCCACAGCACACTATGTAGTAACTGTTGTCATGCCACGCACTGAGTCTCTACATCATGGTAGCATAGGACAGGGTATCAGTAAAACACATGGCATAATCTCTCAAAGGTGCCTGGAGTGACAAGTGGCAGCAGCCAGCTCTGGGGAGGAGGGACTCAGCTGAGCAGTCACCATGCTGTTTTATGCCCACTGAGCCATGTTCATATTACCATGGACGAGACATACTAAATGCTGCTTACCCCTTTTCAGGCCTATGGCACAGCCATTTCCGAGCAACATCTGAGAAAATAGGGGCAGGAAGGGACAGAAAGGCAGGCAAAGAGAGTAAGTCTTTGCAGGTCTTCTGACTACAAGGTGGCAAAGAAGAAATCACAGTGAAAGCAGAGCAGGATACCAGCAGATGCTCCTTCTTAGGAAATTAGCTGAGGGGGGGAGAAGAGAAGGCAAGGGCATGATGCACAAATCCAAGACAGCAAAAGCCACTGAAGTGGTAGGAGAGCAGAATGGGGTTATACATTCTGCCTTGTGGGCAAGAAAGCTGAGCAAAGGTACAAGTAAGAGATGGTAAGCAAGGCAAACCAGAATAATTAAAAAAAAAAGGATAGAGCCACAGAGGAAGCAGCTGAGAGGTCTGCACACAGTGAGGGTGTGCTCAGCAAGTGACAGGGAAGTTAGAAGCAACTCAGAGTTTAATCTCCTCACATAAAAACCTGGTTTTGGCTAGGGAGAGTTCTGGCAGGTATCCCAGTCCATTGCTTAAGAAGGGAAGCAGACAAGTTTTTACCCACTCAAACAGGTGGCATACTGGAAAGAAAAAGTTAAACAGGGGAGCTTCAGCCAGTACCACAACCGCGGGTGGTCACAAGCATCAGGTTAGTGCTACCAAAATACACAAGACAGATGACCAGGATCAAGCCTTCTGCTTCAGTCACATGCTACAGAGCAGCCTAGTACTTCTTCTTCTGTTGTGCCTGCTTTACTGGGGCAAAGTTATGTTCTGGCATTGCACAGTCCAAGTTTTCCCCAAATCTAGCTGTCTTCCCGCTAGACTGGCTCAGTTCCCTGATGGCAAGGCTCTGCAAAACAGAGTGTAGGGCAGTTGACAGGAGTCTGAAAGCCCAGGCTGGCCAAGATTACTTTCTCTGGAAACTGCAAGTTACAGTAAGCACATAATATACACGCACTAGAGCTCATCTGGTTCCACAGAGGCCTTGACTGCTTGCCATCTAGACCTTCACTGTATACACTATCCATTACTTTTGAGGGTTTAACAGATGCAGAGATTTGGATAAAAATCCAAGATGAGTAGGACTGTCCTGCCTCAGTCTCTTTAACATGCTGCAGTCTCCCATGGAGCATTCCCATCCTCATCTCACAGCTTGTGGTCTTTCAGTCACAGCTCATGGAATTGCAGCATGCCTCACGGGCAGCCAAGTACTGGCTTTGAGGGCAAGCTCCTTGATTAACCCAAGAACAGCCCACTATGGCAATACGCCTCTGCCTCTCCTTAGCTAGCCACCTCTCATGCTTTAAAGATTCCGCTTTAGCATCTGAATTTGCTCTCCAGCCTGAGCACCTTCCCATCAGTCTTGATCAGACTGCTTCCCTGTGCTTCAGCTGTCCCCACCCCAGTGTGTTTCCACCTGAATGGCAATCAAAGCAACATCTCTCCATTGCTCTTGATAGAGAGAACACACAGCACAGCCCTGACAGCATATGGCTGACTCTGCAGATATTGAGGCAACGGTACTCTTATTTCATAACCGCCGGCTTTCTTGAACTCTATACAGACAGATTTCCTCAAGACACGGCCTTACGCCTAAGCTACAAAAAAGACTCACACTTGAGAAATGAGCGTCTCGCTGCCTGTGGGACTTGTGCTCTGACAGGCAGCACTGTCCTCCATTTCAATCTGTTTCCTTTTCATGCAAACACCAGCTACATTGACAAACACTGATAGCACAGATGCCCCTTCTCCTCCAACATTTCAGAACTGCTTGCTCTCCACAGATCACAGACTTGCAAGCGGAAACAGATACCTTAGGAACTGCTGCAGTGCTGGGGTAAATGGAAACACGGGAGATGAGGAATAAAAACCTCTTCCACTTCTGATACTGATTTCATTTTAAAATTTTTTAAGGAAACAGTTGAAAGGAAGCACTTCCATATATTTCTACATTCATAAAGGTAATCAGTTTGTGTATAAAAGATACAAATTAAAGTGGAAATACTTCTTCACACCCAAACTAGTTTCCTCCTTTTAGCAGGATGCTCTCGACTTCCATCTTGCTAAGATAAGTACCAGAACAGGAAAAAATCTCTTGTGCAATGGAAGAACCAAGTCTTATCATCTCCCACAATGTACAACTGCCAGCATATATCCTTCAACTGCAATGCCCAAGTCCAGGACCCAACTCAGCAGCCTCTTTTTTTTTTGGTCTATTTTACCAGCTGACATGCTAATCACCTGTTGTGCAGAAGGGCTGTGAAAGAAAAAATCTCCTGGTTTTGGCTTTTTAGGAAATACCTAATCTTTTGCAACCTGTTTCAGGAACCAGCTATCCTTTACCCTTTGAAGAAGAGCTGGAGTGCAGGCAACACCAAATGTGTATTGCTTGTATTAGAACAGCATATATTTCCAGTAGTGCCCAGGAGTTCTAGCCTTTCACACTGTCATGCTAGGGTCTGTATTCACAAAACAAAACACACTCACAACTAGGTCTAGTTTTGAGCCTGCCTCTGCTGAGACCTACTAGGATCTTTAGTGAAAGACAGTTCTTGTTCAGGTTATGTCCACTCAATCCATTCCGTCATTAATCACACACTCACACCTCCAATGAGCTCCTTCGCCCCCCCCAGCCTTTTTGCTGTTATACCATGGAGGGCAGAATCGTCATGCTCTACCAGGATAACCACCTGACAGGGCTTCCTGCGCCTGGGACATCCATCTCTGTAGTTAAATAGTTCAGTGGCAGGTGGATCCCCCTGTTCAGCGATCAGAATTCTGCATGGTTTTCTTTGCACACTAGTAACCAAGAAAACTCTGCTCTGCCCAGCAACTCTCACTGGCCAGAGAAACATTCTGCAGTGCTGATGAATGCAGAGGCACAGGTGGTCTCACTGCCTTCAACCATAGATGCGTCCTTTCTTTCTTCTTGTGGCAAAGAGGCACCGCTTAAAAGTTAGGCATTCTCCTTAGAAGACCCCCAATATCACAGCTGTCTGTGTAGATGCCTTCCAGAGTCAGGTGTTTTGTACAGCCTCAGATTTCTTGCTTCCTTATACCACCCACTTTGATTTTTTAGCTGCCCGAACTCCAGTAAGCTGCAAATTAACTCTCGGGGCAGGGGTGGGGAAGACAGGGGAATTCAGGTAACACCAATGCACTCATCTTCCAGCATGGATGACAATAGCTTTCATTCCTCAAGAGCAAACCTCAAGAAGAGATCAGAAGCCAGACTGCACCAGGCGACCTCGAAGGCCTAGTCCTCTCTGCTCTGAAAAGCACCTCCTCATGCTCTGTGTCTGGCAGGTTTCCGTCTGCAGCGAATTAGCAAGAAGTTTCAAACTCAAGATCTTTTCATTCAGTACAAGACTGCTTATCTCAGCAACACTATGGATGAACATTAGACCTCCCCCAGCAATCCCTGTTCTCATCTAAAACATGCCTCATTCCCAAGGAGCCCAAGACAATCCATGGAGACAGCAGCATTTGACAATTTCATATCACGGTTCATTCGGGTCTGGAAACGCAGACTATTCAGTCTCCTAGTTTATGCACCCTGGCTCTGAGCCAAAGAATGTGTTTTGATCACTAAAATGTTATTCCATATTGAAAAAAAATCATCTGAATGAACTATTAAGGAAATAGCTATGTTTGCCTACAATTAAGTTACTTTAAACACAGTAAAGCTGCGTTTAGAGAGAGATATATTAAATCAAGCCGCAATACAGGATATTTTAATAAGTGAAATACAGCAAGAAATGAAGCTACATTAATAGTTATTGGCACATTAGGAAGAAGAGTTGTACTGAAATTTTATGGAGCTAAAATTGTCTGGTCTTCCTTGTGAAACCAAGGAGAAAGCAGATAGAATTTCAGGTTGGATTTCTGATCAACCCCAAATTAATTCTTTACCTTCCAACATTTACCAAAAGCAAAAGACAAGCACAATACACAGGTGACAAGCTGTTTTTCCTCTCCCAAACCCCCTAAAAGGCTACTATGTTCATTCACAATGCAAGAGGTGAAATTTCAGCTCCCACCTCTGTTTGACAGGATTTGATTCACTATATTGAGCTTATCCATCTCTTCAAGTTGAGCCACTGTGCGTTATCAAAAGCCTCAGTCAGAATAGTACCAGAAAACTGATCACAAAATGTCTCTTCAGACAAGAAAAGGAAGTGTAACTATCATCTGTGTCCTTAAAGGCCCTAGTTGCTGAGCTGCTGGATAAGCAGGGAACAGCTACCCTGTTCTGTTTTACAGATCTGCCCTTGACATTTTTTGACTTAAGCTAAGCCCTCATAGCACCCCGACCTACATTTGCTTTTAAAAGAACCTAAACCATGTTTTCTGGCACCACCTGTTTACTGAAGGTGTTTTGCCAAGCTTTGCATAGAAGAAAACACGCAACTTCTTCTATCTGATCTGCTGCTGTCTTCCTACAATACATTTATTGTATTTTTTATTATTATACTCCTGCTCACTAATACGCCAATACTCTCAGAAGAGCAAGTGGCAGAGCTTGAGTGGCACATCCGCTGATGAGGGTCTCTCCACATTTATTGCCCCGACCGGTTTTTCCATTTGAAGATGGAATCGGGCACGTCCCTACAATCACTTTTCTTAGAAATAGGGCCTTTCACGAGACAACTGAACAGACTAATCTGCTAGCCTGGTGAGTGCAATCTGAAAATCCAGACTAGGTCCCTGAAGCTAGCTACCCTGGCAGGGTGGTTGGGAATGGCAGCAACTGAAATACGTCTGGCTTTGCCCAGGAGTCCTGTAGCAAAAGCCCAGGGCCACAAAGCAAGACATGCTAATTCCACTCTCACCTTTACCACAAGCAATCACACCAACCTAGCACTTCTTCCTCCACTCTTGTGGCATACTCAGGACACACACTTCTCACGTATGTGAGAATGGGACAACAACTTCTGCTACTTTGGGCAGTGAAACAGAAGCAGCAAGTGCCTGCATAATACCGCAAGACCCTTGTTTGAATGAGGTCAGTTACCCTACCAGCCTCAGTCATCATTCAGTGTTTGATACCTCCCAGAGCAATTCTGATACAATGCAAGACTTTCAAACTTTGAAGGGATCTGCTGAGGGAAACAAAATATGTGTGTTCTTCTATGCGTCACACTGAATCAGCTTGATCTCCCCACACCCTCAAACATCCCACAAATATAGTAGGTGCTGCATGCCACCCCTCTGCATTCAGATAAAGCATCACTAATGCATTTGCCACTTAATAATTGAGCTCCTCCCCTCAACCACCCAATTCTACCAAGGTCTTGCTGCTTCCCAGGAGCACACTTCAGCTGAGCAAAGACAGCAGCTCCAAATACAGTTCTTGTCATTCACATCAAGATTCAAGGGCAACATTCAGTCTTTGGGATGCGTTAATCAGAGCTTAACAGTAACTGTATCCATCATGCCAAAATGCTGCTCATATAGGCTTCCCTGATTATTTGATCACCTTTGCAATCAGCACAAAAGGTTTGTTGTTCCTTACTCCCTCATCCACTTTGCATACAACTTTTTGGAGGTTATGAGCTCTTTAAGTGTAGGGATAGAGCTAGCCTCCCATACTACTACAGCAGTCTGTGGGACATAACTGTAATGCTGACAACTGAAATATCCTTGATCAATAACGTGTCTTTCTACAGTTGACAGCCACAGCTGACGTCTTGAGAGAGAGACTAATGTTCTGCAATAAGCTTTAGTAGAACTAGGACGGCTAACTCACTACATAAGGACTTCACAACCTGCATGCACATGTGAGAGGCCACCCCAGCATAAACGAAATATTAAGTACGTGGCCACTGATTGCAACCAGTTTAGGGTAAGGTTCTGCAACTTTGTCATCATCTTTACCTCTCAGATATCCACTTCCAGCTGCATTTGTCACAGGCAAATATCTTATTCTGTTAGTTCAGCAGTCCCAGAATACAGCAGTAGATCTCTGCTTTTTAGCCTTTGAAAATGGCTCTGCCTGCCTCCCTTTGTCCTGCTTTGACTGGTTGAAATCTACTCCAGAAGCGAGACACCAAACAAGCAGTTATAGTCTTTGCGGGTTTTCAGTTTGATTTTCATTCCAAGGCAGGGTGGGTGAAATGGTCTGGTGCCAGATTTCGTGCGTTTCCAAGTTGATTCTGCACAGATTAACACTTCACTGGCTGCATACAAAGCCCATGAAAATAAACCAGAGCACAAGAAGCTACTTCTACCTAGTTTACTCTGCTCACTCTCTTGTACCACACTATTAGTTCAGCGGCTGTGACTGCAACACACTCTAACCGCACTAGCACAAATGGCAGATCAGAGCTGGGGTGCAGTGAGATGACTCTCATCTGCTCCCCCGCCGCAACTTTCAGTGGTCATAGGCCACCTTGATTTGTCACCGTACCATGCTGTAGCAGAGCTGGGGAATTATTGGAAAACAAATGCATTTTGGGTGAGGAGAAAGGGTGAAATATCAGAAGGATTACTGATGGATGGAAGGCAACTCAAATCAGAAGTAAGCTCAGAGCTAGTGCCATTCGCCCCACACCCTCAGTTAAAGCTCAACGGCCTATAAATCTACGCATGATATAGCCATGCTGCCTGAACTATCAAGGAGCAAGTCAGAAGGCTGCGGCACTCACCTCTGGGTACCACTGAGAGGTCAGCAAGAAGCTCTTCTCTCTGGGGAGACGCACTGTCCCAAACGCCACAACGCACTGTGCAGCATCTCAGCATAGACTTGAGGCTTTATCTCCCAAATTAGGAAAGAAAGGAGTCATAGGCAAGTCAGAACAAACAAGTCCAGCAAGTCTCAGTGACAGAGGCTTACCCAGTAGCATGATTCCTCCCCTAAAACAATAACAATACACTTCTTTCATCACACCTTTCATCCAGGAATCCCAAAGCCTTTTCAGCGTATTAACTACACCCTGCAACACCCCAAATCAGAAGAGCCATGAAAATTTTGCAAGTACACAGAGTTTATTTCCTTCTTTAGTATAATTAAGCATAAACCAGAAATTATGGGCAGGACAAACGCAGAAAATTTGCGTGTTCTAAAGAGACAATGTTCAGACCCAGGCCAGACATGGATGGAGCTGACATAAATTGATGTAGATTCAGTGGCATGTACCTCAACTCCCTTGAACTTCCTTGAAATTAGTTGTTTGGCCAGAAAAGAACTTGCCCCCATAACAACAGCTACATTCAAGTTTCTCATTCTTCTTTAATTCATTAGACATTAATTTTAATTGTGTGTGTGGCTAGGTGACCACATTTCTGTCCTGGAAAAATTCTTCTAGGTCATAAACATATGTGATATAAACATTTGCAGGCTGTCTAGATAAGCATTTCTACTTGTGCTGATCACACCAAATTCACTGGCAAGTCAATTAACACAAGCACAAACTCTAAAGTAGCATTTCTCAAGCTTTTCTTGGGAGCATTTTTTTCAATTTTAAGTTTTCTTAGTTCCACCAAACTTACTAGAAGACAAATATGCTCACACAGCCTTACACACAGATTTGTTTCAGAAGGCAAAGATGACAAAACATCACAATAAGATACATGTGTGGCACATATTTTCTTTGCTTTGCTGCAATAAAGTTTCCAACATCTAGGAACTCTTTTCCTCCACTTTAATGACCTTCACTTGACCCCTCTACAGCTCAGGACTCACCAGCTTAGTAACTCACTGATGTAAATACGTATTATATGGCTGAAGCTCTTCCTTCCACCTTGTATTAAATCCATAGCCAAGTAACAGGAAGACTGCCTTTCTGAAAAGGCCAGCTTCTTTTGTATGAAACATACACTAAAGATAAGTCTCAGCTTCTCATAATTTGCATTCAGTCAATGTCTCAGCATAGTTTGTTATGAAACACAATGAATACAGTTGCTAATAAGGCACATAACGTAACATAATTGCTTCTCAATAGTTTAACTGGAAGTTGCATTGCCATCCCAATAGGAACACTTCTACTGAGTCAGTCCAGATGTGCAAGAGAAATGCAGTCAGAAGCCTAGCTAGAGGGTGACAATTTCCAGAGGTAAAGTATCAAGTGTCATATGATTACCTGGCCTGCATGTAGGTGGTGCAAAGACATATTAATTCCAGGCAGTCCATGACCCTCAGACAGAGCCCTTTCTCGTGACTCAATCGTGGCATAGGTGGAAGAATGCAGGACACAGAGGCTTCATGACAATCTCTGAACAGTCTCACCTGCAGGCAAAAAACCTCTTGCTGCTTAAGGGAAGAGGTGGAACTGAGGAGTCTTTTTAGGGCACCAAACTGATTAAGGATGTAATAATCCCGGTCAATGGTCCCCTCTCTGCACAAAGCGTCTGTGTATCTTCTTATACCCCTGGGGCAGAAACCCCAGCAGAGAAAAAGAGACAGGCAATAGCCATCAGTAGTTCAGTTACCAGGTACCTAACAGGTTTGGCTCCTGATTCCAGAAACCATGTACTGATGTGCCCACTGGGCACTGACAAACTTCAAAAAAATTCTGGACAAGTTGGGAAGCGCTGGGAAGGAGGCAGTGGTCTACATGGGTACCACATAAAAGAAAGAAGAGAGATTCTAGAGGCAGGATGTAGGATGCCAGAGAACATGACACCCTCATCATAACACAGCTGGAGACGAGGCAAAGTCTCAATGCACGACTACAGCAATGGAGTAAGCAAGAGAGGCTCAGGTTCATCAGGGACTGGTGAAGCTTCTAGAGTAGATTACGCCTAGCAAAGGGTGATGAGGGGACTGAACCGAGAGGGGAACAGGATCTGAACTTCATACAAGGAAGATCATACAGAAATTTCAAACTGACAAGTAGGAGAAAGCAGACTGGTGCACACAGGATGCACTGTTCTAAATGCTATGGTAGCCATTGCAGCCTCAAGTAAAGAAGAGGACAGTCAAATAGTTAACAAAAGTGGTAAAAAAAAAAAAAAAAAAAGTCTGATATGAACAGGATACTGCGACAGAAAGCCAAACCAATGCTTTCCATGTTTCATAGCATTCTCTAAGATGATAAAGAATGCACGGACCCAGAATGCTTTCCTTAAACAAGGACACGGACACAGCAGGTATAAAAGAAACATGGTGACAGGAAGACAATGGAATGTCGAAATCCCAGGGAACTATTATTTCCAATCATGTTAATTACTCTGATGTAAAATGTGACATCTTTACCTTGACCACTCAGATAATACTAGATTTCTAGATGCTGTGAATAACTGTTTCAGGAACAGGCAGCTAGGAAATCCACAAAATGGGAAGCAACTCTTGACTCAGTCCTGACCAGTTCACACAATTGGTTTATCGTATTTCTGCCATGTACCTGAACTATATCAGCATCAGATTCAGTATTTCTACAGACCCTCAAAGCCAGAAGATCAACTACGGCCATGCTCAATTTCAAGGACAGGAACCACACAAAAGTAGAAAAATCAATGAACCTAGAAAAGGAACCTTAAAGAACTGCAAGTTTTCTGAAAACAGAGAGACTATTTCAAGACATCATGGTAGTCTCAGAGAAAATGCATCCTGCCTGTCAAAAAAAAAAAAACAAAAAACAGAAAAACAAACAAACCATAAACCCCACTGAGAGCAAGAAAGCATACTTCAGAAAAGCTGAAAAAAATGAAAGGATTATAAACTCAGGCACAAACTGCAAAAAAAAACCCAACACAACACCAAAAGTTAGGCAGAAGCATATCAGAACCATTTAGCTAATATTTCTCTGGAGCAAAGTAAGTGACCAAGACCAGGTAGCACTCAACCAGGTAAAGGATGGAAAAACTGCTTTATTGATGACAGCATGCAGCCTCTCACCAAACACTACTTTATTGCCAGAAGACTGAGGGAAATATTTCCAAAAAAGCATTCTAAACCAAGCATGGGGAATCTCTGACAGTGTAGTATGATATACGAAACAGCCATATTAGCACAACCAACTAAATAATAAGAATAGCAGGTATTTCTATAAATATGCTGTATGGGGTAGAATCATCAGAGCTTTTGTAAAGCAACACGATGCCTGGAAAACCTACCTCAATTCCTGAGCCAGCCATCTGAGGCAGATGTCATTGATAATGTCTACTTGGATTTCCAAAAGAAATTAAATAAGATATCTCACAAAAGCCTCTTAAAAGATCTGCGCTGTCATGGGATATGAAGGCTTGAGATGAAAAACCATTTAAGAGAAGAAACACAGGAAATAAATGATACTGACCTGGCTTCACAAAAAGCATTATCTCACAGGAATCTGCTATATTCATAGGTGGTCAGGAAAAAAGAAATACTGAGATGACAGTCCTCAAATGATAACTGTCTACTCATCACAGTAAAGAGAAAAAATACAACACGCTCCTGAAACACCTCATAATATTGAGATACAGATGAACTTTGGAACGAGAAAATATAAAGTGACACACACAGAAAAAACAGCCCTAACCATACCTATTAAGTGTCAGGTGTTGATTATTCTTTTCAGGAATAAGATTGAGGCAGTCTCTCCTTTGAGGATATCAACTCAGGAGCAGCCAAAGAACAAGAGGAACTTTAGAAACTACTTGTAAAGAGAACAGAAGAGCAAAAAGGGAAAAAATGTATATCTTAACATTAACCCACATTACACCTATATCCTGAATACTGCATTAAATTCTGGTCCATTTGCCCATCTCAAAGCCAATACAGAGGAACCATGAAAGGTCCCGAAAGAAGCAGCACAGCTGACCAAAGGAACAATGCACCTTCTATGCATGGGATGCCTGAATAGACCAGGATTCTGCAACCTGAAAAAGGTATGGAAAAAGGGATAGGAATCTCAAGAGTAACGAGTGGAGTAGTGAAAGTGAACAGCAAAACACTATTCACTGTTTTTTCTCATAAAACAACTATGGGACTTCAGACAAGAGCAGCAGATTTAAAACAAGCAAGAAGATCCTGTCATATAATATACAGGAAAGGTACGTGACTTCTTGCTGCAAGGTATGTAAAATGTCAAGTATTTTGTACATTTAAAGGGAATAATCACTTTTCTGGAAGAAAATTCCACACAGATTTTACCTTTGTGATCCAAGAATTTCCCGACTTAAATCACTAGAAGTTTAAAAAACACTCTCAGGAAGCACCATAATCTGACCTCTGTGTTCTCATCTTCTCCGGGCGTCCTCCATTGACTACTCCACAAGTCACATGGCAGCCCTCTCATCAGTCAGAAGGGTCCTACGCTGATCATCTAGTCCAACTGCCAAGAAACTACGGGTGCTATGTTTCTCGGGGCTCAACAATGCATTCAGCTCAGGCTACAGAGGAAGACTGTGCTTTGCAGCAGCATGCATTCCTGTCTGTATGGTATCCATATCTGATGACACATTAGACTGCAGAAAGGGCCTGTGGATCCCCAGGTAAGGTGAATGGTGTTCCTCTGGCCTGAGAGCACCTACAGGGGTGTCACAAAACCAGTAGCACCTCATGTCTTGCACATGACCAAATTTGTCACTGTCTTTTTGGAAAACAATTTTAGACACGCACTGTCATTTTCCTAGATTCTTCCAAAGCTTGGCAAGTGAGGTACGGTATTGCAACAGGCACTTAGCTGAAGTCAAGGCAGAAAATTACTTTTCCTTTCACATGCGGACACTGTGATGACATCAGTTCATCAGTGATTGATGAGCCAAGGTTGTTTTTCATCTCTTCTCCTCCAAAGGCGTCTAGTTACCAAGGCACCTGC